CAAGTTTCCTCAATTGTGTTTGAGTCTTATAATGATGTTCTCGAGTTTCAGGGTTGTTTGAGCACTAGAAGAAATAATTATGGGAATTGAAGCTAAAGATGTTGGTGTGCTCGTTTGGAAAATCCTCAGATTTTCGACCAGTACTATTTGCAGATACGTGAAGAGATATCCAGTTGCTTCTGGTGTTTCGGCGTTTCTAATCATCTTGTACACTTTCCTTCCTTGGGTTTTCTATTTCATGCCCTTGATAGCTTGTGCTGTGTTTTATCTCCGGAATCATCTGAGTTCTAAGATCGGTGATACCTCGGAGGAGGAGGAAAGCAAAACGGATCGTGGGTTAACCTCGATTTCACGAGAAGGCTCTGTTTTGGATGAGGGAAGAAAGGAGAAGGCTGAGTTAAAGCACCAACGAAGTGTTCGACGAAATGCCAGAAGGAAAGTTGAGGAGGTTGGGAAAGATTGGGACTCGTCTCAAGCTAGCGAGGATGAGAGAGGAAAAGTTATTCTCACAACTCTCTACGGAGAGTTATTACCGGAGACGATCTCTCCGGATCTGGAGACTTTCAAGAGAGAGAGGACATTGCTTGTACCAGAAGAAAGCTCTTTAGAATCTGACCTTGGAAACAACGGAGATTTTGTTGTTTTAGATCCATTAGAGAGGGTTACAAGTGTCGGTGGTGGTGGTGAAAATGAAGTAGAATGTTCATCGGAGGAAGAAGAAAAAGAAAGCGGTGAAGATAGAAGCGAGGTTGTAATAGCGTGGACAGAGGATGACCAGAAGAATTTGATGGATCTTGGGACATCTGAGATGGAACGAAATAAGAGGCTTGCGAATTTGATTTCTAGAAGAAGATCAAGGAGATTGTTCTTACTTGCAGCTGAGAGAAGCCTGATGGATAGGGATGTTCCTCGGATTTGTGTCACTCGAAACTTTTATGGTTTTGATAAAGAAAATTATGAAATCGATGGACTTCTCATGCCTGGCTCTGCACCTTCCGTTTTGTTACCAAGAAGAAACCCATTCGACCTTCCTTACGATCCACATGAAGAGAAGCCGAACCTGACTGGAGATAGTTTCCAGCAAGAGTTTGCAGAGGCTAACCCGAAAGACATCTTCTTATGCCGCCATGAGAGCTTCCATCACAGAATTTTCCCATCAGAATCTCAAAAGGATTCTAAATTTCCGTCTTTGTGGCGAAAGACAGTTGATGGTAGGCCTAAGCCACTGCAAGGTATATGCTCTTTCTTTCTTTATTTCCCCAAGTTGTTGTATTTTAATAGGTGAAGATCAACACATGTGTATTAAGCTAATTTTCCATTATTTTTCTTCTATCAATGGTTAGACTAGCTCTGCTTCTATTGTGCTAATAGGTCTCTTGGAAGAAGCTCCTGTGACTTTTTTTACTAGTTTGTTATTGCATTTACAAATCAATATTATGAGTAGAAATTCTGTATATCTTAGTGATTTTCTTGCTGATGTAGGTAGCAACGATCAACTTCCTCTCATGAAAGAAAAAGATCTCACAATAGGAAAAGGAGATGATATGGAGGCAGGGGAGGTACGGATAGAGACGGATTCCATCAGAAACGATGATAGTGACTCAAACACATCGCTTTCTCCGCGAGAAAGAGAGAAGGATTTCAATGTATCGGACCAATCAGATGCTTCTGAAACTATCAGCAGACGAAATGACCATGTTGGAAAAACTCTTGTGGGTTTAGTGCCTAGAAGCAGTGGTTCGAGTTCGCTAGCAACCGCGAGGCAAAGATACATGGAGCATTTTGGTTATAGCACAAGAAAATGTCATATGGTGTCACATTCCGTTGACTCTGATCTTCAAGTTGAAGTTTCTGAACTCGGATCACCTCCCACTTCAGTTGATGGGAATGACTCCTCTGATAATGAGAGATCTTTGTTTATTTATGAATCGGAAACTGGAAAGGAAATGGGATTTAATGGTGGGGAATCTGATATGTTACCTGTGGGAAAAGTTGATCAAGATCTAGATAATACTTATTCGTTAGCATCTCCAGAAATTGAAGAAGCAAGAAAATTGGAGCACATGGTTCCTCACCTTGATGAAGTTTTCTCCAAAAGAGCAGAGGTCAGTTAATGTTTATTGAAATCTGGTTTAATGGACATGGCTAAAGTTTTTCCTCAAAAAGTGTTACGACTTTTGAACATAACATTGCTACTTTTTTCGCAGGAGTTAGAGAAACTTCCCGAAAACACAGCTGATGAGATAAAGATAAGTTATGACTCTGACGAACCTGAACCATTAGAGAGGACTGATCAGGAATCTGAAGAACCTTGTGAGAGAAATGATGGAGAAGAGATGCAACAGCTCGGGGAAGCTGAAGTTTCCGATGTAAATCATGGAGACTCTGAAGAACCGGCAACTTCTCCAAAATCAGTATTACCTCTAGCGCAGACTCATTCTGAGGATCTGGATCATACATCAGATGGTCAGCTGCAAAATGTGGATCCACCTGCAGAATCATCTAATAATCAATTAGATGTAAGTTTCAATTCCATAAAGAAAAAATACATATTCTGTGTACAAGCACATACATCTACTTGGTTTGACGCGCGGATTTGTCTTCTCTAACGCAGGAACATTCTGAGCCAACTGAGGGAACTACAGTAGAAACCGTTTGTTCGGATGCCACGGGAACAATTCAGGAGAGGCAAGAGGTGTGCACTGCAGTTATCCTTGTCCAAATTTACAATGCTCTGTATTTACTTAACTAAAAAAGTGTTCAATTCTTTATTTTGTTTAACATTGAACATGAAACTATCAGGGATCTGAAGAAACATTCATCAATGTTGAGTCTAAATCTGCAGAGGACCACATCGATCCACCGGCTGGAGAACTCAAAAACAATCAAACCGATGATGGAATTAATTGATGAAATAATGGTAAGCTCAGACCAAGCTTGAGAGAATTTCCTAAGATGAATTCCAAGTTTTCTTTTGAAACTCAAGAGGAGTTACGTTAGCTTTTGGTTCTAACTGGTTCTAACTGCTACAAACCTGATTCTCTTCCTTTGTTCCAGTTCTGTTGCAGAGAATTCGTCGCATTCTTATGGAAAAAAGTCAATAAAGATAACCAATTAATCTTGGTTTATAGGATCAAATACCACCAATATAGCTGCAGAGACCACTTTTACAGACACGCTAATACGAGTACAAAGAAAATGGCGAAATGAAAAGATAAGATCTTTGTGTAGATATGAACTTTATGTTTGTGTTGTATCATGAATTGTATGCTTTGATGCAAAAGTAAATGGAGAGTGAGTATATAGGTTTCTTGTATGTTTTGGTTCCTTAGAGCGCACGGGAACTGAGGAAATTCTCATAAACATTTGTCTGTGTTCTTGGGCTTTCTATTTTTTCATGTGCCTTGTAGAAATTTTAATTAATTACAAATTTTAATTGATTTTGTCTTTGACTAATAAGGTTAAAAAAAAGATTTAAGTTTATTCTAAGCTCAATTTCAGTGTTTAGAAAAAGATTATACATATGATGGGTAGGGTTGCATTGGTAGATGATTTTTATAATTTTATTTGGTAAAAAAATATAAGAGTTGTAAAATTATAAGATGTTTTGGAGGTTTTAAAAAAAAAAAAAAATATATATATATAAAATGTTTTGACAATGCTATGTACTTTTTACTTTTATTAAATGTTATGGTTGGTTAAATTATATTTTATTACATATAACAATTAGTTTGACAAGATACAAAAAAATTAACAATAATTTTGGTTTGCAATACAACAGATTTAATGCGTTATTTATTAATAAAGCTTAACGTTTTTACATTCTCGTTGGTCAGTAGGAGAGTTTACAAACGCATTTGTTATGTTTGCAATCGTAGTTCCGCATCTTTTTAACAAAGAAACAGTAGGAAATATAACTAATTTGGCGTATACAATGTAAATTGAAGTTAGGTTTGAGAACATATCATTGGAATGGGATGTGCGTAGTGTAAGCCAAACGCTTCCTTCTCTCTTCAACGTCACTATGAATGCAATCGAGGTTCTCTCTATTGTTTTGTTTTTGAATCTCTTATATACACTTGTACAATAGAATGACTAACTATATATTTCTTGTAAACAGAGCATCCTTCCATATAAAAAGAGCATGATACCGATACTTCAAGATATCAATGGCATTGTCGAACCATCTAGGTAATTTTAATCAAATGCTATACTAAATGAGATGGAAGACACAAAATGTATTAATTGTTATAAAAACTAACGCTCTTAGATTCCATCAAACGTCTTATTAATTACATATTTTTAACCACTTCTCCTTGTAAAATACCTACAAAATATATTTATTAGAAAAAATGTAAGTACCCGAGAAAAATATCAGATCATTAAAACTAGATTCAATATAGATCAAACTAAAGGAAGCAGAAGCGCCGTTTTAATCCAATATTGAATGCCCCACCACCTAGATACATTGAGCCAACTATTGCCGAGACATAAAATTTTCTTTTGCTTTCTTTCTTTTCCACAATCTGCTTGAAATTCGCCATAGAGAAAACCATGAGAATTGTCACCGAACTGTAGATATGAAGACCAACCTTCTTGCAGCACTTGTCGAATTCTTGGTCACTGTAAAGCTTCAGTATGTTGTTGGCAATACCCAAACGGTGCAAGAGAAGAGGAAGACAAGCTCTTGGAGGAGCGGCGGGAGGAGCCGTGTAGAAATTTTTGCCTTTTGCTTCTTCAAATGCTATATAACATGAGATGGAAGACACAAAATGTATTAATTGATGTAAAACTAACGCATTTACATTTCATCAAACGTCTTATTGATTACACATTTTTAACCATTTTTCCTGGTAGAATACCTACAAAATATATTTATTAGAAAAATGTAAGTACTCGAGAAAAGTATCAGGTGATTAAAACTAGATTCAATATTGAACAAACTAAAAGACTCACATGAGTTGAGAAGAACTACAACCACTAAACACGCTACAATAGGCTTCATGATTCTCATTTTTTCCAATACATTCAATGTTATCTTACTTTTATGCACTATAAACTACAATTTTTATAACAAAAATAGCGATATGTATATGGTCTCCATTTTTTGTAAAAGCATTGCATATTAAGTATAATAAATATTGTGTATCATCTTATATTATTTCAACTTCAGTTACTTTCATATCGCTAATTTTGAATTATTTTATACATATGACGTATGATAAATAAAATCATTATGTTGTTGAAACGTTATGGTTGTGTTGTTGTTCATTCAAAATTTACTATACACAATATATACGAAAACATCTATTAATGAAAATACGAAGATAAAACATGTTTAAGAGTATAATATTTGTTGAGTCAGGGTAATCAAAGCAAGTCACTGAGATATTTAGTGGATTTTTGAGCAAAATTTGATGGATTTTTGAGCAAAACTTAGTGGATTTTTGAGCAAAATTATCACTAGCAAAATAGTGTGTTGGGAATTACTTGACTGATATATTTAAGCAAAGAAGTGTTGTGCGTGATTTCATGATACTGTATGTTATTAACTTTGAAGAATTTTCCTTGGAAATCTCTCATTCAAACCCTTGAAAATAAGAGAATTGTGCCACGTTTAACAAATATATTTTCATGGATAGGAAACAAATAAATAAAAATGATGAAAAACTACAAATTTCTTGTTTGGAATTACATTGGATGAATGTTTGTCTATTGTCATTGCGAATTTAGTTTTAACTATTTCCATAAGTTTCGTGTGCGAAAAACAAATTATGAAAAACTATTTTTGGACATATGAGTTGGTTTTGCTTATGGTGGTAGCATATAGCTAGATTTGCTTGTGCAACCGTGGTTAGAGTGATCGTATATTTTTTACACATGCTATTTCGACCACATAACATAATTTTGTATGTTGTGTATAAAGTTCCGAACAGTGTGAAGTACAGCATGATAGCATGGGTTATTGTAGCTACATGGGACATTGTATTGGAAAAGTTAGAGGTTCTCTTGGATAATCAGGTTGTGGAAGTTATTGACAAGATTTTGATAACATGTGAGATTATTCTTTCGATATGGATTATTAAATCCATTTTCGTTATGTCGTTAACATCATGATTTCATATACGCACACACCATGAGAAGACTGTGGAGTCTCTCTTTTATCAGGAGGTACTTGAAGTTCTTTCAAATCCATCATTAGTTCACTTGAGTTCATATTTGCCCCAGACGCATATATATGTTTAGGAGAACTAAAGCAACTCAATAAAAGAACTATCATCATGGAAAATGAAAAGGATGATGATTAAATAAGAAAAATGTCTAGCTGCTGAAATAAAGACTGAAGTTGTAGCAAGAAGTGAATGAAAAAAAATATATTGGACGTTGCAAAGCCATTATCACAATAAATTTTATATTTGGTATTTTATTATGTGTGAATATTGAAAAAATCATTGTTCACATTCTACTTTTTAGGTTCTCAAACGATTCTTTCCAGACGTGAGGCTTTGAAAACTTTGAACCTCTTCCGAAGAACATATGAGAAAGATGAGAATATCAAAATCAGCTTGATAGTTCTAAAAGAATGGATAATAATTTCATATTTTCTCTCAACTTTCAATTATGCACGAACATGAATATGTTTTTTTATGTTTATATTTTTAGGTGTATTCTTTCAAACGATACTGATGTTTTATCTTGCCACTTAAATACACAGACGCATTGTTGAGCTAATAAAAACTTTATTCGTAATATTTTACTTATGGATAGTAACATACCTTTTTTTTTCTTTACAACGATTTTGTTTAGTGTATGTTTTAATTGTTTGCATCCATCAATTTGTATTATTAAACCATAATCTACATTCATATTGCTAATCTCTGTGTATATATGTTGTTGTGGCAAAAAAGGATAATGCACTTACAAGTTACAACTATATTATAGACTTT